TCATTTCAGGACGTCAACGGCCAAATGATGTGCCTCCCGGAAGGCCATATGTACACTTCAAAGCGACCAATCTATCTTAACATTTCATGACGTCCATTTTGAGCCTTTTCTCCGGCATCGTGTGCCCCTAGCCGCTTGTTAGTCTTGTTCGTCAGTTAAGTTCGTACAGCTGTCCGGTATTTTCGGCATAGTTTCTGTGTGGCTAGTAATTGGGCATCGTGTACCCCCGGCCGCATATTAGTCGTGTGCGTCAGCTAGGTTCGTTCAGTTGCCCGCTATGATTGAAGTAGGTTCCATGTTGCTAATCGATGAACCTCGAGGTATTCCTTCCGAATTATGCAAGCTATAATGGAAAACTCTGCTTTTTGCCAGCAAACGTGCATGACTTTTAGCAAACAATGAACATGGAGTACGGAATTCTAACTGGCGACAGGAATCATCATCCAAAATTTGTTTGCACGAATGCACCTACACATATTTTGCATCTCCGAAGGCCATTTAGATTCGAGAATTTTCAGGGAATTGTTTCGGGTGGAAAACTATCTGAAAGTTTCGTCCATTGTGACTGAGTTAACGTTTTCCACATTTCGCGATTTTGTGTCACATCAGGCGACGTATTCACAGTCGGTGGTGTTTATTGACCTTGAGGATTCGCTCACTTAAATAAGTCGCCATAGTAGATGATGTTCACTAATACAGGACCACAAACATTATACATAGACATTCTACACTGTGAATTGACAAGCCTGAAAATACCGTAGCTTTCGAGAAATCAATTCAATTGTACGAATGCTCTGCGACACCTGTAACGATGGAGAATTTCCAAGTCGAGGAGATTAAAACATTCAGAAAGCAATAATCCTTCTTTATTTGTCTGGTAGTAATGAAAAAGCACTTCCGCTTCCCTACCGACCAGATATCATCGACCGATTTAACTGGTTTCCTTTTAGCGAATATACACACATCTGCAAACTAATTTGGTTCTTCCGAGAGCCTCACCTGGAACCCAGCTGAATCTCTCGCTTATGATGTTCTCAGGCAACTGAATGTGCTGCACCAGGTCGCCTCATGAGAACATCATAAACGAGAGATTCAGCTGGGTTCCGGGTGAGTCTCTCAAAGAACCAAATTATTTTGCAGACGAATGTATATTCGCTAATTGTGTGCAATTTGATTTCAAGTAGAACATAAGGTTGACGGAAACCCGGAGACTGCGCCTACCTGATGAGCCCTAAGAAGGGCGAAACCGGTCGTGGGCTATCGATGGATTTTCAGCAACCTTGTGAGTAGTACATTACAAATATGATTTCCTTTTAGTTTTATCCCCCTTATTATCGGGAAGCTGGGCGTTTTGCCTGTCCTCACCTGGGTCTGGGAGAGGGAGTTTTGTTGTGCTGTAATATGCCCTATGTCTGGTATGTTAATGCGTACTAAAATTTTAGGCAAACAATTGCCAATGCGCCCAAAGTTCGTTGGTCTTGCGCGTAGAGTCTCTACGAGAAAAACAGTATTGGAGAAGTAAGTCGGTCGCTGAATCAACCGGCAGTTTTCGTTGCCAGACAGATGAATGCGTCCACAGTGCCTTAGGTTGAACTTCTGAGGGTAAGATGCATAATCAACCAGGTGATAAGTTCCAGATATACCCCGTTTGACTGAGCAAATAATTATTTCTTTTCACCAGTGAATGCACAAATGTGTTCGGTGAGTAAATTTGCATCAACTGAGCTAATTTCATGGTCTTTGTGTGCATCCTCGTCTATGCCAATCCTCAGTAGCACATGCTTGTGAATTCACGTTGGTTTTTCTATTTCGTGCTATTCGTTTTCATACATTCTTCATGTTCGTTCACTCATCGAGCATCATTTTTATTCCTATGTTACTTGTTACAAACAACCCTCGGTGAATTTAATCCGCTTATCTCTTTCTTGACCCCATATGGTTTTGTCCTGCGCACTGCGTGATTCGACAATCTGCCTCGACGTGACATATCTGTCGAACACTCGCCACTCAGTTGCT